TTCTTTCCTGTAGCTCCTCTTTACATACTGAAAGGCTGCTATCAGGTCACCTGTGAGCCTTCACTTCTCCAGGCTGAACAGCCCCAGCTCTCTCAGCCTGTCCTTGTAGGAGAGAGTTCCATCCCTTGGATTTTTTTTTGTGGCCTTCCCCAGGATGAGATCCAACAGGTCTATGTCTATGTTTTGTTGCTTTGTGACAGTAGACACAATGGTGTCTGACATGGAAGTGTGGATGAAGCAAAACTGTAGAACTGAGTTTCTCCATGCAGAAAAAAATTGTACCCATTGACATTCATCAATGCATGCTGAACATTTATAGAGACCAGCAGTGGATGTGAACACAATGAGAGGTGGGTGGTACATTTATTTCATCAGTGGTGACAGCATCAGTGGGTCATCTTTACTGGTGCAGATTGAGTGCAGCATGCAGTCTCTTGTTCATTGCTGATGAAAATACATGGCTAACAGTGATGACTGTATTGGAAAGTAGTGTTTTGGAGCTGAGAATTTGCTCTATCAAATATTGTTATTGTGCTGTTTGTTGTTGTTTCCATGGAAATAAATAGGAGGCATTACTTTTGGTGTGACCTATGTTAAAATCACACTTGGTTATGAAGCAAAAATTTTTATTTAGCAATATGGAGTTTATTAACCTGTAATTACGGAGGAGTATCACAGCTTTATTCTGTGGTCGTTTTTAAAATCACATTTCCTTTTCTGTTTTTGCTTTTCTTAACTGACACTACGTAATGTTGTTAGAGACAGTTTCAACAAAATACAGGACTTTTATGGACAGCAAGCTGAAGAGAAACGCCTGATAGGCTGTATTTGTGTGGTCTCCCTTTGCTTCTGTGTGAAGAAAGGGAAGAAAGATGCTTCCTGTCTCATTTGCTGTGGTTGCCATGTATAGCTTCATCTTCTTGATCATTCAGATTGGTCACTCAGTAGCTCCACACCGCCATTCTCTAAATAGAAGGAAAGAACACATTTCCCCTTGCCTTCCTTCCCTTCCATAAAAGGCAGAAAACCCAATAAGTTTCATTTACACACTTCTTTACTGTATTAAACACAGTTGGCAGTGTTTCTTTCTGACTGCCAGACCAAATCAGGAGATTCTTTGCGTAGTCTCAGGTGTGTGTCTGTGAACAGCTGACCTTTACGCGGCTTAACAGAGCTGGTCTAAGAAGAGCTCAGAGAGCCAAAGCATCATTGGCTCACACTTGGCACAGTCTTCTTTTCCCCAGTGCCATAGGATGTCTGTAGACAGAACAGTCCAGAAAACAGAACAAAAATTAAACTCATAAATAATACCTTAAAATAGAAAGCTCTGTAAAACTCACAATGTATTGCATTTTTTCCTGCCTTTTTAAGTCATTTTAAAACAATCCTTTTCCTGCTTTGAATGGAGTTAATTTTATCGCAGCTGTTTATTTTGGTTTTAACAGCTTTAGTTTACACAGCCCTTTATCATCCCCAAATCTCTTTCTGATTTAGAATCTTGGTTTGATGCCAGCGCAGCTCTGTGGACGTTGGTGAATTAAGCCTGATGTTGTGGTCGCTTTTTAATCCCTGTTTGAGCTACTCTGTTTTGGTACATTTCAGAATGCTGCTCTCGAAGGGCCTGTAACTGGCGTAGCAGCAGTGTGGTATGTTTGAAATGTCTTGAGAAAGCTAATATTTCTTATATGCCCATAGAGGAAAAATGTGTGTGAAGTGTGAAATGCTTTCAGACAGTGTTGTGAGAATTTAATCTTCATGAATATTAAATTATCTCACATTTGTGAGAAGCACGACGCAACAGAGAATCTCAGATCTCTGGATGTTTTTAAATAGCTTTATACCAGGAGACCCTTGTCTAGTACCAGCCAAAAGTTGAGAACAGCTGACTCCCGGGAATTTTAACTTGGTGATGTGACCCTCGTTCAGGTTTTGAGGAGCTCGCTGAGATGTGAGTTCTGCACTGCAGTGCTACGTTGTTTAGACAACGATAGATTGGAGCATCTTTGTTTATAGAGACAGAAATGGGAAATGACACCCGAAAAAGACTTACTTGCCTCCCGAGAAACTACGAAGATCTGGAAAAGTTTCATGCTATTAGAACTGGGGGGATGGCAAGAATGTTAGTATACTAACACCGCATTGCTATTATATTCTTAGCTTTTCAGCCATCCAAATGCTGACAGAGAGTTGACAGCTGTCTAGAAAATTTGATGCTTAGTCAGGCCTGTGGCTACTTTTGTTAATGTAGCTTGCTTAGAGTAGGAAAAGTCTAGTAGGGTTATAGAGGAAATGATCTGAGTAGCCGCTTCTACCAGTCGCAGAGGAGAGACAGTCTTACAGTCTCTTGAATCCCTTTTTTAAAATTATTATTATTATTTTAAGAGACTAGAAGGGATCTGCGTTGTGGAGTAAAAACAAATAGCCTTTAGAAGGCAAGAAAAGCCTTGACTTTAATTTTGCTTCTCAATCCAAATTGGAAGAATGGGGTAACCTATCTCAGGAACCTTGAGAGGAATTAAGATAAAGAGAGGATTCCCTCAGCATGTCTTTAAGAGAAAGAGCATGTTAGACTATTTCCTGCATTGTTTCTTCATGCTACTATGGAGGTTTGCATTTTATCTAATATATTCTCAATTTTTACTGTGTATAACCCTTCTTTGCTGACACCTCTTCTTCTTTCCCTCAGCCACAAAGTGATAAGAACAAGAATAGACAAGTTCTTGGAAAAGCCAGGGCCATTATTCTTCATTTACTTATTCATTTATTTGTTTAAAGTCCATGCGACTCCTTTATTTGAGTGAATCAAAAAGTAATAAATGGTGTCATTGTCCCAGTTAATGAAGAAGTATTATTATAACTTTGAAGAAGGGTGTCTCTGTATCTGACCACTCAAATACAGGTTGAACAGATACCACTTCAAGTCCATTCTGTCCTCCTAAGAATATGTATTATCTCCTGTGTAACTTTTATTGCCTGGACTGTGAGTGGTGGCAAAGCTCATTGAGAATGAAATGACTCAAGGATTATCATCAGTTATTATTACAGATGAGTGATGCTAAGAAAGTCTGCTGTAAGCCTGAGGTGAGGTTCCTGATACAAGGCGTGTTATCACAGAAGAATGCTAACAGAAGACACCGTAATGAAAACCAAATGCTGGCCCATAAACAAAAGCCTAATTTTGTCTGAGTCCCTTGAGGTTTCTGATTTCTCTTTCATGCAGGCTTCAAAGAACTGAAAGTCCATATGACACCTGTTGAGTAACTCCCATAATTACTTCAATATTTTATTTCCATCTGCTGGCCAAGGTCTGGGTCTGGGTTTATGTCTTCTCCCAAAATTAGCGATGCAGAAAACATATTTTCAATAATTTATTTTGAAGAAATGTTTTCCATTCAGGGAGCGACTGAGAGGTTGTATGTCCTATCAGATAAAACCCAGTTACTTGTGGAAGGAGGTCTCTGCACTGCTATTTTGGTTCACTGAAGAGTTTCACATTTTTTTTAGTTGGGAGACTCTGGCAAGGATGAAAGAGGGAACCTTTGGCAGAGGATAATTTTCCTGTCCAAGATTGAAGATGATCTTTTGTTCAGCAGATAGAGGATGATCACTGTGAATTTTGTGTTTGAAGGGGTTACTCTCAGAAATATTAATCATTTTCCTGCTTCTGTTACTGCCCAAGTGGCAACAAGGGTCAGAAATAAAAAAAAAAAAGCTGGTGACTTTGCCATGTTGCCTGAAGAAATTTGTATCTATCAAGCTTAATTAGTGTAACCCTGCACTTCCGAGCATTTCTGCTCAGAATGTGGTGGAATGGCTCTGTTACAGTTAGGACCCCATCACTACGGCCACCACAGTGCAGAGCTGGATTGCAGTGCACGTTTGTTTCCTTTTGCTTTTTTTTTTATTGTTACCTTCACGAGCCTGGAAGAGAGAATTCGACAGAATTTACCTTACTGATGGCATTTACTTACTGATGGCTGTTTAACTTCAATGATAAAACTGTGAAATCAGCTTTGAAGTGTTTGCCCAGGCCTGTCGTGGAAAGATTAAAAAGTCCAAGCAAAGAAATTGAAACTCCAGCACATTTTTAAAAAGAGAGCTGTATTATTATTACCATTATTAAGAATTCTTTTAATTCCAATCCTGGACAGTTTATGGAACAAATAACTTGTACAGTACAAATCAAACATTATATATGTGTATATATTCAACAGGTAAATACAACAGCTCTGCAAGAGGCCAGAGAGCCAAAGCATCTTCAGCCTTTTTGTTTGTTTCTAAATGCAAACTTCCTCTGATTCTGCATTCATGTTTTGGGTATAGAAAACCTCAGAACAGAGCAGTATATGATAATTTTTTCTGCTTAGCATTCTTGCTAAAATTCCTGTCCTAACACAACACAGTTCTTGAATTCTTCTCCTTGCAGCACGATGCTGTTTAAACCAATCTTAACATGTGAGCTCCTTGCTTCCTTGATTGTGAATTTGTGCCTTTAGGCCTCAGGATTTGTTAAGGATTCTGTGCTTCATCAGAGTAGCATAAAGTAGACCTAGAAGAAGAATGTGTTTTACTGGCTAGTTATCTTTCTTAATAGTGAACTGCCAGGAATACAAGTCTTCCTGGAAGTAAGTTACTGCTCACCAGAAAGACAGAAAGTTCTTGCACAGAGACCAATGAAACCAAAAGCTGTGAGCCAAGCCCCACGTTATTATTATAATCATTATTACTGCGTAGAATTAGCAATTTAGTAGCATAAACTGCTGTGTTTTTCCTGGAAACTTAAGTCAATCTGCAGTGGAGGAAGGAAGGTTTAAGTGATTCTGGGGAGTGTTTCAATTGGAGGAAACTTCAGTGGGTTACTTCTGCTGCCAGTTACTGCTTGACGTGACTCTGCACCATCCTGTAAAGGACTGAGACGTCACCATATGGGATCTATGGCCTCTGCTATTCAAACAGCGGAAATTTTCAGATAAGCACAGATAAATTTTCCTATTCACTGGGAGAAGTAATGCAAATCAGTATGCCAGTTTTGATTTATTATATTCCTAGAGGATTGTGTGCATGAGTGCTTTTCTTATGAGGCTGTCTGTGCTGCAGAAAGATTTAATGCTCAGCAGGGAACATATTATGCAGCTTATTTGATTGCAAATTTGTTTAAACAGCTTTTAGCTTTATATTTCCCTGTTAGGTAATGTAACTTTAGATACCAGTTGCATAATTGGCTTGATATGAGTCATGCAGATTTAAGGTACAGTACTCCTGGTCTGACTGACTGTTGGTGTTAAGTGGCTTTATAAAATAGCTGCTCTAGAACTGATTTTAACTCTTTCATTTATTGAATTATCTTGCAAATAATCTGTGTATAAGGAAGAAGGATTACCTTGATATTCTAGGAATGACTGCCTTCACGAATGAAATTCTGATGCTGAAGTGTGCATGTTTTGTGAATTGGTACAAGCTCTAACTAGTACACCAATGTGACAAACAAACTGAAGTGCTTTTTAAAACTCCAAAACGAGCGCATGGCACAAAGAACTTCTCTACTCTGGTTCTCATTGTTTGTTTTCCTCTAGAGCTTAGTGGGAGGGCCCTGGTCACAATCTCTTTTGAAAACAGACATCTTTGCACCTAATATTCAATCTTTTATCCCTTTTAGGTCTGAAAGATACTACAGGCTCTGAGAGTGATGGTGGTGACTCTGGCAGCACAAAATCAGAAGGAGCCAATGGAGGCACAACAATCCAACCCAAAAAGGTCAAGGGTGTTGGCTTTGGAGATATCTTCAAAGATAAACCTATAAAGCTACGGCCAAGGTCAATAGAAGTTGAAAACGACTATCTCCCAGTAGATAAGGTACGCATCATTACTTAATTCTCTCTTTGGTGTTGGTTTAAAGAACCTACCATCCTTAAATTCAAAGTTCTGTCATGGGCAAGAACTCTGTGATCATCACTCCTTAATCTTTCTGTGGACTACTTTCTGTTCTTCTTCTTTTGCCCTACACCAGAAGGTGAGTTCCAGTGATGTTAACCGCCTGCGAGAAGTTAACTTGGCTTAAAGATTTATTCCTCTGATTGTTTTTCTGTCTAATCAGAGTGCTTTAAAAAAAAAAAAAATATATATATATATATATATATATGTAAGTTTAGACAAGAGGATTGGAGAGGCTTGTGGTTTTTCAGATTTGCAATTACTTCATTGTAATAAAAAATAATTGCCAGTTGTTACATAAACTAAACAGGAAATACAGTCATTCTGTCATTGGCTTTCTAAAAAGGATATTTTGGAGAATAGCTAAATACCTCAATTTAGAACCGGTTTGTTAATTTAAAAGGTGTTTTTAAAATCTCCCAATCATCATCTAAAGGAGATAATAAAAGGGATAATGTATTTTTTAAGGTTTATTCTATGTGCCATAAAAAGGAAGTCCTGAGATTAACACTGGTTTTCATTTACTGACAGATTGAAACAGGCCATCTTTACAGAGAGCATTCTTTGTTCTCTAGCCTCAAAAACTATCACTGCATAAACCAGAAATAGAGGCTAGAAATAAAAATGAGATGTTTCTAATAATTAGGGAAGGTGTTGTTGTTCTTTTTCAGAGTAAATGCATTTATCATTTCAAAGTGCGTTCATTAGGGAAATAAAGCAAGAGAAGCACATTCTTGCCTAATGAAGTAACAATACAAACAACAAAAAAAAAACACTTAGCAAATCCTTTCTTGAAGTGAACAACTGGATTGACATAAAGGTATTAATATCCTGAGAAGTGTTGAGAGTTTTGGACAGCCTGGAATTCTGCTATGGGCATAATTACATGATGAATTTTGTTAGGAGGTACGATGATTTTAAGAAACTCCTAGGCAGGTGCTGTTGTTCCCTCATGCTGCAGCCTCTCAGATTCTGCCCTGTGCTTGTTCATTTGCCTGTAGAACCAGATGCTTCAGGAATTACATCTTTTAGCTCTCAAAGCTTCTGGGTTTTAACCTAGATAACGTAGGTAACCTAGTTTGTGGTCCAGCTCCTATCCCCCCTTACCTTCTAAGTTATAGTGGTATAGCAGAAAGAGAGGTCAAGCAGAAGCATGGTTGAAACTTCTGAAGTTAGTTATGCTACAAGATAACTGCTAAACATTTTACAGTAGACTGCAATTTGGATTCTATATAGTGAAGAGCCTGGATAATCTAAGGGAAAAGCCTAGATTGTATTTCCATTGCTGACTTCTTCAGAGACTGGCAGTTCTCTACTTTGTATTTCTAGGTGGACTTACTAACTCTTGCACAGGGCTAGCTAATGCGAAGAAGCAGAAGCAGCTGAGCTATGTTTAAAAGGCACCTTATCAAAGAAGTCTACCTGGGACACAAGATAGCAGTAGGCCAGGCCTGGCAGTGCTCATAGAGTGCTAGCTAAGGAGCATTCTCCTGCCAGATTCAGGGATAGAGGTAGAGAGGCAGTGAGGTCAGCTCTGCATGGAGCCATTGATGCGTCTTTTTTCAGTGTGTTTATTTGTGACCCTGGTAATCTCCAGTGGTTAAAGTGAGAATGGGCTTTATGAGAGTTTTGTGAGGATGCTGAAATAGTTTTTCAGGAGAACACACACAAACTCAGTAACAGATTTCTTTTTTAATTTTTTTACCTCTTTTTGGGATATGTTTGTTTTCATAATTAGATGGCTGTCTGAGATCTTGTTCATACAAGCCCCATATAGGAAAAATTCCTTTTTGTATACAATGCGCTTGAAAGCAGATGGACTTCACATTACTACATACTTGGCTGTACTTAATCCTTTTCTCTGGACTCAGGACAAAAAGTTCTGCAGCTACATATTTTAATATTTTTATTTTCTGTAGCATTCTATTTTAATAACGCTTGACGTGAATTTTAAGTTCTTAATTTCCTTCTTGTAGCCATGTAAAGGAAATTTGCAGACAATCTCCTAAAATAAATACACTTAGAATTTACATGCTAATGGTATTTGTTATTGGTATGCAACAGAAATATTCACTTGTAAGGTGACTGTAGACAGAATTCAGGTGTTGCTCAACATCTAATTCTCTCAAGTCAGAATACAGGCAGAATGGAACTTTCAAATGATAAGGCTCTGTTTATTATGCCACGTGAGTTATTTCTTGTGTCTGCACTACGACCTATGTGATAGTAATAGTAAATGTGAACTAATTGAAATAAATTACGTGCCCCTTAAACTCTGGACTCCATTGTTATAGTATGAAGTGTTCACAAAATATTTACAAAGTTCCCTTTGTTCACTGAAGGGAAATTGCTCTGCTTTATGCTTATTATCTGCTATATTACAATGAGAAATCTTACCTTTGTTTCTCCTAGGGCCGGATAAGCTGTGTAAGTCTGTAAGTTCATTGCCCAGCCAAAAATTGAACCTAGAGTATTCAGAAAATTTCTAAATTTTTTCATCCTACCCATAGACATTCCTTCCTGTGTCTTTACATTTCTCCTAAAGTTGGCATGGCTAGTGGAAAATAATATTTTCATCTTTGTAAGTACAATTGGTTATTCATATTCAAGTATATAGGTAAGTAAAAAAAAGATGTTGCTGTTGTTTGTCTTTTTCCTGGGTAGGGTCAGATTGGTTAACCTTTGAACTGGCTTGTTGAGAGGCTTGAGAACTGTTGCCTTTGCTTACTCAGAGCACCAACACCTGATTCACTGACGAAATACTAGATTCTAACTGTGAAATATTAACTTCTTTAAATACTTTTCTTCTGGCTGCAAGAAATTCCTCCCTTCTCACTTCAGTGTTCTTTGCTATTTAATGCTTGCCAAGAGAGAGAATCCCACCTTGTTTATAGTGCCAAGAAAGGTCATATTTGGCACAAGGGCTCTGCATACGGGGGTCGAAAATGTTGTGATTCATGATGCAGAGTTTTCAATGTAGTGCTTAAAGGGATTTTTGTCCTGGTGTGTATCTTGCTCATTTGCATGAAGTAGCCTCACTTTTCCAATAACTTGTAATCTTTATAAGAGTCAGAAACAACACTTTTCTCAATTCCTTCATTTTTTAAAATTTTCTGAAGTGTGAAGATCTTCGCATTCTTTATAGTGGTTACTCTATATTATTTTTGATGGAACATTTTGTATGTCTGTAGTGATACTCTAACCTTTCTGATTTAAAATATTTCCTAACAATTGTTGAACTTTTTAAATATTGGGAAATTATAGTAAGGATTGTATCATGTGGGGTTATTTATAACAAGGTAATTCCCACAGAAGGTGTTGGTTCCACTTACACAATAAATGTCTTGGTCTCATTTTGTTGGCATTATTACATTCTGTTCTGTCATGTTTTTCTATGTTATGAACCATAAGTTTAGATCATATTTCACACTAGGGTGATGTGAATTATTGTTGTGTTAAGTTGGAAGGCTTTAACACAAATATTGGCAGGAGTATGAGGACAGAAAAGATTGCTGCCAGCAGAGCAGGAAGAGATTCCATTATGCCTTGCTGTAAATCATCAGTCAGGTTGTTGTGCTCCAAGTGTTAGCCTGGTGCTAACAACATAGAACAGAGTGACCCTTGTCTTTTAGGGTCATCAGTAAACTCTCTAAGGATAAAATTTAGGAACTGTGTGAAGCCCATTGATTTTATTGGTGTGCAGAATTCATTGCTTAGCTGTTTTTTGTTCTAAAAATCATGAAAAAGTTATCCTAGGGAAATTAATAATGCAGTTGTGGTAGTTTAACATGAGCCATCAAAGCTGTTCTTTCGTGTTTTTACAGAATCGAACACTTTTGCTGTGTAGGTTTCTTTTCTGTTTTCATTGATGAATCAACCACTGGCTGTATTTGGTTTCCAGTCAAGGTAGAATCAGATTCCTGAGGCTTGGCTCTGTCAAATTCCCATTAATGATAGGTTAATTGACTGTGCTACATATGACTGAAACTGTAATTTGCTGACTTGAATTTCTGAAAAAAGTACAGTGTGCTTATAGGCATGTTGTGTCTCCTCAGAAAAGGTAGTGTTACATTACACTACATTAAAGTTAAAACATGGAAGTCTTACAGACAAATAAAAGCTCCCATTTCCTCTTGCTGCTTGTGCAACTCCAAGACATTTACACAAGTGTTTGTTCACTTCTTTTTTTCTTTTTTCTTTTGTAGTAGATTGTCTAAAAGTTGTGTTTCTAGGTTGCATTTTCTTCCAGTACATTCTACATATACTGCCATTGTTCCAGTAAGCTATCACATTTTCCTCTCCTGTATCTAAAAATAAATCCCTAGGAGTATAGGAAAATTAATTCAACCGATACATTCCTCTGTCTGAGTTAACTGTGTCAGGTTGGTTAGTGAGCTGAAATCTCAGCTGAAAGAACGAGAGGCCAAAATAGGTGAATATAAATTAAGAAGTTTTTTTTTTTTAATCTTTCTCTGAAAATTGTCCTTGCTTATGAAGAGACTATTGAGAATCTCTTGCCTTTTCCATTTGAGATATACTCATGTCATATTCATATTGCCTTTTCTTTGGTTTATATCTCCATAGTGAGCTAGCACTGGTGAATTTGAGCATAACTGGATTTCGTTAGCAGCATTCAGTGAGGTCACATTAGTGACTGCCACAAATGAATGTAAATTATATCCAACCAGCAAACCGCAGCCACCATCGTGATGTAATATAAAGGGTAGGCTGTCGTGGCTCTAGATCCAGCAACTAGTTAACTGCTCATTAGGGATCCTTCTCACGGCAGGACACTACCTAGCAATTTTTATTTCTGCATGTATTTAGTGTACTGAGGAGAGGGGAAATAGAGAAGAAATAATGAAAGTAGACACAACAGCTAGAAGGGCTAGGAACTGATGCCAATTATTGAATCTACCTGT